AATTTTTTGTTTAACCAAACACTCCTGTTTTTACTTTATTTTAAAGAGGATAAAACACTAAAACCAATCAAAACAAACCAGTGTAAGAGATACAGGACTTCAAAACATTACAAAATCAACAATAGTTACCGTATAATGCCTTTTGATATCTTCAAAATGGCTGCAGATAACTTCAGACATAATAAAAATCAAACACAACAGAATAGAAATAATAAAAACAAAACAATAAATGCGATAAAGGATTTCAAAACAAGCCAATAGTAAATCCAAAATTGCTACCACAATATATTTTGTTATCTTTGAAATAACTGCTTCTGCCATCAGATTTAACATAATCAAACAAAACAAAAGAGAATAAAACCCAGCCCAACGAAACAATGGTAACAGTGTAGGACTTCCAAATCAAGACCATAGGGAATCAACAATGGCTACAACCCTCAGAAGGAGATCCCCCCCCACCCAGATGTCACAATGCCTACTGCTATCCTCTGAACCTGTGATCAGACCACTGGCCCTAGTCATGCAATGTTACTGAAACACCAGAGCACTACAGGTGTTCAATTGCATTTCACCTGGATAGCTATACTGTGGTCTGTGTTTCTCTGGATAAGCCAGTGGCTTACACAGGGGGACAGATATGATTGGTAATTCTTGTTTGCCAGTCCATGTGCCAGAAGAGGCTGGGGTCTGGCTGTTCCCAGTCCAGTGGGGGCCCATGCATGGAGCTGATTCCCAGACTGAGATTGTTTGCTGGTGTGGCCTTGTTCTGTCTTCTCCCGGTCTGCACATGGCCCTGACTCATGGGGAGAGGCTTGGGTCTGGCTGTTCCTAGTCCAGCAGCGGACTGCACATGGCCCTGGCTCCAAGAAAGGGCTTGCTTGCCAGTGTGGCCTTGTTCTCTCTCCCCCCACCCCACAGTCTGTCACTCATTTTAAATCATCCTTTGATTATAAACTTGGGGTCCTCAACATATTAATGGTTTCCAAAAACCAGGAGATGCTACCAAAGAGATAAATACAGATGAAATATCAGAGATGAATCTTTGAGCAAATCCCATAATTACATCATTAGAATGGCAAATGAGAAATGGAAATGTAGAGTCATACAGTAACTAAGAGCTCACAACCTGGAAGCTAGGAAAAGAAAAACTATTAACCAGGATGACCAGCCAATGACAAGGCCAGGAGTGGTGGAGATTGTCAGTCGACCTATAAGAGATTAGCAATGTCGCAGAAACATCATTGACATTTTCAAGAGCCATTATGGAGGAAAAGGGCCCTGGAAAACTCAATCAGAATAGGTTAAATATAGAATGGGAGAAATTAAATTAGTCAATGAAGAGCTGCTCATTAATTCCTTCAAGGAATTTTGTTGCTAAAGCATTTGAGAGGCAAGATCAGTAAAGAGCAAGAAAGTTCAGTGAATAGAAGAATCTTTTAAAACCATTTTATTTTCCACTCAGGCAACCTTTCCAATTTTCCAGACCTACAATCCACTCATTACATCACCATGTCCTATCCTTAATTCCTTGACTTTATTTTTTCTTCTACTCACTTTCAATTCCATTCTCCTGCATGCATCTTGGTTCCCTTGTTTTGCTCTTCGTTGTCAGTAAAGCAACAGCTGTAGATGAATCACTGTACCTGCACATGTGTGAGTGAACATGACTAACAAAAGAGAACCCACAGGCCTTAGATCCACTTTAAATGTATGACCACATACCTCATGTAAGTGGTTAATGCTGACACAGCAATCTATTTTTCCTCTTAATTTGCTAAATTCCCAAGAGGGTTTGACACTTTCACCTTTATTCAAACTTCCATAACTCTTTTAAATTAAAAAAGAACAAAGATGGTGATACAGAATTTCAAAACAACATAATAGGAGATTAACAGTGGTTAATGTATTGCGTATCATCTTAAAAGTTGTTATTCAGATTACAAGATATAGGCATGAAAAAATGCTCACACAATGAAAGCACAAACTGTTCTTTTAGATGAACTAACAGATTAATAGTAAAGCCTTTTCCCTTCTTTCTCTTCTCTTTTCCCTCATCCTAGTTGCTTTTTTCCTTTCAAGCAGTTTCTTGTCCTTTCACTTGCACAATATGTATTGCACATTTTGGATTGTTTATTCTTACAACCCAAATGCCCATCAACCGTGAAATGGATAAAAAAGACATGGTACTTTTATACAACGGAGTACTGCTCAACTGTAAAGAAGGATAAATTTGAGGCAAACTTCTATAACTTTGTCTTCCCTCATACTCAATTCTAAAAAACGACTTGTATGTATTGAGAGAAAAGAATGGAAACCTCCCACAGACTCTTACCATATCACCAGCTCCTGCATCCAAATACTGGCCCTCCTGGTTGATATGAGATTAATTATCCAATGTTTTAATCCAAAACTAAGGCTGCCACTAGTATACTGGACTTCATCTTCCCTCATGTCTCCTTTAAGAAGACTCCCCTCCAATTCCTGCATTATTAGTACTATTTCATCAAATTCTTCAACCGAAAAGACACCACAATCTCTTCTAGTGTGAAAGAACCTAGAAAGATAGATACAGATCAGAGTGGGGCACACCTGAAATTGGAATTGTGTAGCATTTGCAGTTAATGATAATTACAGCTTATTGTGGACATGGCAGTGCCTCAGCTAATGCAGAACACCGCTAAAGGAAAGGAATACTTGAGTCCGAACATGGGCTGTTGAAAGGAATATTCACATTTCTAGGAATTAGAAGTACTGTCAAAAAGTAATAGTGAAGCCAGAAGTAAAAATACAGTGAAAAGTCGAGTGACTTGGGCATCAATGGATGACAGAAAATAAGTGATGGTAATGAGGAAGTGGTTTGTTGAGGAGCTTCAGCTGGGAGTGATGACTCATGGGAGAATGGTGTGGAAGAAGTAATGAGAATGAGGGGCATGAACAGGGAGCAAGGGGCACGAACATGGTGCTTTCTCCCCAGCCACCCGTGATAGGACTACAGAGGGAGTGACACTGCTTAGGAAGAGTCAGGTTTCCACCAGCAATAAGCCAAGACATCTAGAGAAGATAGTGATATTGTAGAGGTCAATTAGTATTTTTGTTTGTTTGTTGTTGTTATTGTTTTTAAAGAATCCATTGCAATCACGAAAAAATCCATTGTGGTGTTTTACACAACTCTGTCTGCCTTCATATGTGTGGTGCCTTACATAATATATGCTCACATGGTTGTGTAGTAAATGAATCATTCTTGTCCTGGCTTCAAATTACATGGGATAAAACAGGAAACAAATAATATGAACTTTGTTTACCAGAAACTTGACTTAGGCTTACCATTTGATTCTCCTTACCTACAAAATGTGGCTATAATTTCTAATATATGACAATCATTTCCAGTGCAGTTTTTAATATGAAGATAAAAAGGTATTCCTTTTAAATGTAATACTTTACCTTTCCTCTCTGACTTCTGAAAAGTATCTAAAGTTAACTTACTAGATGATACAGACCTTGGAAGAAAGGGATAGCACAACTGTTATGGACTAAGAAATGAACTTGTCCAGCAGTCTCCCTAGTCCTGGAACCCTCACACAGGGATACTTTTGTGTGTACTGTCTTTGGATCTCCAAACAGGACCCCAGATTTGAACTTGTCATTATGATATTCTCACCTTGATGTTTTGCATCCTGAATTCGAACAATAATAACAAAAAGCAATACGAAAGATGATTGTTTTCAGTCATCTATAATGTCATTTTCTAACAAAAACTAGAAAAGAACTATGTTATAGATGAGAAAAATGAAGCTCAAAGAAGTGTACTGATGTATGCAGAGTTTCCTTCCCTACATACGGCACCTGAGGTCAATCTGCTGTGGCACACTTTCCCCACACTAGAGTACTTGAATGTTGTCCTCATAGGCCTGCAGGATGAGCAAAGGTTAACAGTCCAATGCCTGGCACCTAGATTGGTTATGTAGCCACCAATCCCCATCATTCTAAAGGGGGGGGGGGAGACACAAGAAAAGAGAAGATCTGTGTTGTCATGGCAATAGCAACATTGTAATAATTAAAGCTTTTCTTAAGTGACTAGCTAAACTGTGACTTAGAATATGCACCATTTACCCTGTAATTAGGACCCAGGCTTATAAGAACAAAAACGTTACTACATTTTCAATTCCTATTAGAAAAAGCTTTATAGCTTTGATTTCTTTTAGAAGGGGAATTTACATCTGCATAGATTGTATTTAAGATCATAAAGAAGAAATTGATGATTTTTAAGCAGAGGATAGGAAATTAAAGTTTACAGTAAAACGTATGGGTGTGAAGTCTTAAAAAATAAATTTACTTACAATAAAATAGAGACTTGTTTCATAAATGAGAGTGACTTTGACAGCAATATTAAATTATTCAATAAAACATCTCAAATATCATAGAAAAACCAAACATACAAACTGGGTTATACTGGACCCTTTTTATTATGTCACAACCAAGCATACAACCAATCTTTGTTTTTATTCTTCTTATGTTCATAAATTCTCTCTAACCTTTCCCTAAATCTATTTTTGGCTCTTGACTCTTTAACATGAGTAAATTCAGGATCAAAATACATTTTATGACATGCCTAATAAATTCAAATACAATAGATCTAAGGAAACAGGTCATTTAAATTGATAAAAGCCTTTACATATATATTTAGTTAAAGAAACTGAAATACGGAAGTCTAAATTAATCTAATTTTAATTACTAATTACTTCCCTCAGCTGAAAGTAATCATCAATATTTCAAAAGCTTATAATGTACATCCATGTGAGTTTTAAGAGACTTTCTTTGACTAATGAATTTGTTTTCTCAAAGTAGATCTGTGTGTGCATGTGTGTGTGTGCGTGCACATGTGTACACATCTACATGCATACTTTTCATTCTCTTGGGAGTTAGGGAGAGTTTATATGCCACTTTTAAATATTGTTATCAAAATGATCTATTTAAGAAATTTTTTGTGTGCATATATACAGACACAATTCCTTCAGGAGACACCTACCAAGACAAATGCAGGTGTCCAGTGTGGATTTCAGCATCAGCACTGAACCTGCTTTGCAAAGAGGAGAAACAACAACCAGTATTGGGAGGATAAAACCAGAACTCTACAAACAGAAATCGGTTGACTCGGAGGGCAACAGGACAGAAGATATCAAAACCTGTGGGAAACTTAACTTCACCCTCCAGTATGATTATGAAAATGAACTGCTAGTTGTGAAAATTATCAAAGCCTTAGATCTCCCTGCGAAAGACTTCACAGGAACTTCAGATCCGTATGTGAAGATGTATCTTCTTCCAGATAGAAAAAAGAAGTTTCAGACCCGGGTGCACAGAAAGACTTTAAATCCTCTATTTGATGAAACTTTTCAGTTTCCAGTAGTATACGATCAAATAAGCAACCGCAAACTACATTTCAGTGTATATGATTTTGACAGATTTTCTAGACATGACATGATTGGAGAAGTGATTCTTGATAATTTGTTTGAAGACTCTGATCTCTCCAGGGAGACCATAATATGGAAAGACATTCATTGTGCTACCACAGTAAGTATAATTCCACCAATATATTGCTTTTTATTTGACCTATGGTGATATATATGACTATTGCATAGATCATCAGAACAAATTCGACAAAATTCTAGAATTTATCCCTAAAATCCTGTGAAGTTGGAACTGGGGTATAGAATAAGAATAACCTGGACATATAAGACAATATGAATAACATTAGTGATTGTTTAAATAACAAATCAGCACTTACAAATTGCCAAAACTAGTAGGATATTTCTCTTATAAAATATTTATATGTAACCTATCCTCAGTATTCAGATTCATATTGGTTAATATTGACTTACATTATTTAAGGTGATTTTTGTACTTCAGATCAAACCTAACATATACTTTGATGTTATTTGGTTTAACTATTAATTCAGAAGTTTTCATGGTATATTCATGATTACAGTGCATGAAATGTTAAATAACAGAGGGAGTTGTTCACATTAGAAGTCTTCTTCTTCATTAAAAAATGTTTTTGCTAACTGTACAGTACTAGTGCATTATTGGAAATTTGGAAATCAGTAAAAGTATGTAGTGTAAAATTAAGATGATTAACACTCTATAAATTATGTAAGTACTTTAGCATATTGATTTCCATTTTTTGCCATGCTTACATTAAAATAACTAAAGTCATACTGTGTTTAAATTCATTCATACTAGTTTTCTTTCATGTTGTAGTTGTTTAATGCATACTAAACATCCATCCACTTAACCAATTTCTTATTGTATACTTTTAAGATAAATTCTTACTGTATACTTTTAAGATATCCTAGAAATTGTGCTTTTATCATAAATCTGTTTTTCCTTTATTTAAATTTCAGATGACTTGTCCAGACAGCATTACAGAAAAGGAATTAGATAGCCAGAGGTTAAACTGCTAAATTGTCTTAGTTTTAGTTTTTAAAGGGAGACATTTAACTTTTTTACCATTGAGTTGCCTTCACGTTTTTACTATCTTTTGTTCAAGTTTTACCAAAGTAAATTTAAAATATTGAACTTTTGAATATAGGCAAGGACTTTTAAAAGAAAAAAATTTAAAGCTTTAAACCTTTTGTATTTTTTCCTTTGTCAATGTTTTGCTGATGACAGCCAGTATTTTGAACGGTTATACTGTCATAAATTGTGTAGGTGACTTAATCTAAGACTTGTTACTCTCAGTTTAATATTGCATTAACACAGCATTTTCAGCTGGTAGGTTTTATTTCATGGTCTCCATTGTGATATGTGTGAAGAAACATAAGAAAACAAAGAAAATAGTATGAAATTGGATAATGTTTTAAAGGCACATTGGGGTTCTTGTGACGTCACATTGTTTTTTCAGCATTACTTACACTCCTGCAGAAAAATTATGGTGAACAGTGATTTTTATGTTTTTAAAACACAATGGCTTCTAGAATTCTAAAAGTGAAGATAGTGGTTATTAGGTTATTTCTTTAGACTCTTCAGTCATCTTACTGCTTCCATATGTTTAGAAAATACTATAGTTGCAGAGTAGATGCTATATGCTTGCCATACTCTAAGTTTAAGAATTGTTTCGAAGCATGTTCCAGTCATACATTCATATTCAAAGGTAAGTAATCCAAATGAAGTCTAAGATAATTTTTTAGGAGAGTGATACTGTTGCGATACTGGTTGGTGAGTCTGACAGGTTTCACGCTCTTGTGTATAGTGAACAAAGTGCATCCAAAGGTAAAAATGAATCCGTCTACACTTATTGAAGAGAAGGTGAACATGTACTCAAGGCCGGGTTGTGCCAGGAGAAACAAGAACGTGCCAAGAAAACAAAAGCAATGTATTGCACAACTACTTCTAAGATAGCAATGTGTAACATATTAACCACTGTTGGTTTCTTACTGTTATTTTTTTGAAATTGTCTATTATTTCTACTGTTTATTTTGCTTTTTAAAAATTAAAAAATTACCTGAAAATTTAAAAAAGAAAGAAAAGCGATATGGGAACACTAGGAAAATAAAAAACACAGCAAATCAGGCTATCAGGCTTTCAGCCCAGGAACCTCTCACTGGATCACTAGATAAGACTGACAAGAATGATTGACAGGTTGCTCAGCATGCTGATTGACAGGATTCTGAGTCATCTCAGGGGCTTTGTAGACACATAACTAGACAGTTCACTCTGATTAAATGCGATAGTCAGATGCAGTCCAAATGTACCAGCCTCAACTGGGGTTCGAGTGAGGAAAAGGTTACAGGAGGTCAGGCTGGGAGACACATATGTGCTCTGGCCTGGAGCTATAGAGTCCTTGTGATTTTGCTTCTTTTAGAACAGCTGACCAGTGACTGGCCTTGGACTGTTTTGGTGGAGGGAGTGGCCCCTCAGCCCCTAGTATGCTTTACTGGTAGATCTCTGTTTGTTTGTTTGTTTGTTTGTTTGTTCATAATCATAAATTTTTGTATTTCAAGCTGATCATTTGAAAAAAAAATTTTTTCAATTCCTTGTGGAAACTTCAGGGTTTTTTTCCCCGAACAATGCTTAGGTATTTGTCTTTTGAAAATACACTAATAAATTCTTACGTTTTCAACTCTACCATATGCCTACATATTAACTTCCTTTGTGTGCCCTAAACCTCCCCCCAAGCTTCATGTCTTAAAACATGAGTTTGCCTCCAAGTCTGATGTGCAGTCCTTTCTGGGGTCAAGAAGTCTGGAGTCTTCCTTTGCTACCCACAGGCATTCATTCCTTGGCTTAGCCTGGCCCCATGAGTAGCCTTAAGAAAATCTCCCCAGCCCATGAGCTAAGGTGTATCCCACATCTGCAAGGTGTCCTTTGTCATGTGACACATTTATATACCCCAAGAATTAAGAGGCTGTGAGGCTGGGGATTTAGCTCAGCGGCATAAGCACCTGCCTTGCAAGCAGGTGGTCGTGAGTTCAATACCTGATACTGATAAAAGTTTAAAAAAATTTAAAAAAAATAATTAAGAGGCTGCTGTTTTTTACCTGCTACATCTACTTTTTCACATCAGTGTCCTGAATATAAAAGTGGACAGAAAGTAAAATTTACTTCTAACTTATTCTAGTAGGATGGCTTTCTCCTTAACTGGAATACTGAGCCACACAAAGTACTCAAAATTCTGTTTATAGCTTTTCCATTTCTATATTACTATTGGACCATTAAATATATTTAATGTGATTAAATATAAATATATAAAAATATAAAAATTAAATATAAATCTACTGTGATTAAATATATTTAGCTAGTACTTTCAGCTTTTAACAAATCATTAGACAATTTCCTATTTTCTTATTAATAAAATGTTTAAATAATACAGATTGAAATTCACTTGAAACACTTTATTTTTGTTACATATATTTAGATTTAAATAATTTCATATTGAAATTATAATTTTTCTAGAAAGGATATGAAAAGAAAATAGAAATGTAATATATGTTGTTTCTCATCCCGTATGATGCCTATATGCAAATATAAAGAAGTATGTGTAACAGATAATACAATTCATTGAATTATAAGACTACATATCATTTCATTAAAGAGACACTGGTGGCAAGTACAAATATTCTCATATAGTAAGAATTATTATAATTTAAGATTCTTGTTTGAAGGGGCTGGGGATTTAGCTCAGCGGCATAAGCGCTTACCTTGCAAGCAGGCAGTCATGAGTTCGATACCTGGTATTGATAAAAACGAAAAAGACAAAAAAAAAAAAAAAGATTCTTGTTTGAAATACTCGTGAATTTTCAACACTACCTTTATATTAAAAAAAACCTTAATTTAGTACAAAACTTAGTGTGGAAAACAAAGTATTTTTGACCAATTGAAAACATAATAGTTGATTCATCTTCAGTTTATAATGATTCTTTTTAGTATCATTAAGTCCTGCTTTGCTAGCACATGGATGTAAATGCCAGGGCTCTTTTTTTTTTCCTATTTATGCCAATAGGAAAACAGAACTTTAAAAATCAGAACTCCAGGCTTTTGTGATTTTTAAAAAAAAATGTTTAAGTGTCTGATTCCTACAAATTTTTATCTTAAAATCTGTGCCACAGTTTTCTTTCCTTAAGTCCAAAGTCCTGTCCAAGACCTTATGAAAATTAATCTTGCTAGGATAGTTCATTCTATGAAGTTACTTTTTTCCTACAACACTTGATTCAAATAAGTTTGGTTTTATTCCATAAATATTTACTGAGAACTATCTGTACAAATATATATTCAGTTCGAAAGTGGACAAAATACTAGTAAAATACGTCTTTCATACACATTGTGGTGTCGATTACATCTCATATGAAAGTAGAGTTAAGATCATCTTTGAAGTATGGTAAAATTCTAAGATGATAAACTGATCATTCCTTGAAGTGAAAATAGGAAATAAATCAAGAAGGATGCATGGTATCAGGAGGAACATGTGGATCCGAGTCTGAGATGGGCACCCTGGAGGACACCATTCCAGAAAGAATCCGGAGGCTCTTTGATGACATTGGGGTTTGTATTTACTTGGCTTCTATCGGAGAGTGAAATTAATGCAGCTTCTGTCTCATAGGACCACAGAATGTGTGCACAGGAATGGTATGGAGTGGAGGGGCCTCAGGCATCCAACACAGCAGGAGAAAACCTGCAGGCTAATGCAGACTGCTTCACAGGAAGAAAGGAGCTAAGGTGCTAGGGAAGCATTGCATGCTACACTTATCCAAATATTTTGCAAGTATTTGCCTGATGTCTGCCACTTGCTTGTGAACTTTTGGAAGGCAGAAATAGCCTTGTAACTCTCTTGTGTGTCTCACAGCATATGTGAGTGTTCAGTGGTTAATCAGTACATACTTGTCCAATAAACAACTTGGCACATTTTCACAGAAAGTCAAGAGTAGAATGTATATAAGTACAGATCAATCACTTATTAAGAGGAAAAATAATGAAATGATTCTACAAATCAATAGGTATTTACTTATTTAGATTTTGTTAACATTACCTACTTTCTATAAGCAAAAATTATTCAAGGTATGGCAGGCAGAGCTGAA